AACATTTGTGTAATACATATATAATAACAATTATAAATAAATGTATTAAATCTTTAGTTCATTATTTCTAAATTATAGTATTTATAACTTACACATTAAACACCGAGTTGGAGGATCATGTCCGTTCGACGACAACACAGATTTACACGCTTTTTAGTGGCGGCTTTAGTATTTTTAATACCGTTAATGTATAGTTCCTACAACTATGAAAATTTTATTGTGCATTTGGTCTACAAGATTTTCAGTAGCCAGTGAGACTCTTGCATTCTCGCTTTGCTACTGGAAAATCTAGCCAATATGCCTACTCAGTTTATATAATATGTTAGCGTAAATATTTCGTCATTATTGATCTAATTTTTGTTCCATTCTTACATTTAAAATTTTATTGTGCATTTGGTCTACAAGATTTTTTCAGTAGCCAGTGAGACTCTTGCATTCTCGCTCCGCTACTGGATAATCTAGCCAATATGCCTAATGTATTGTTATTTAATTACATTCTTGTAATTATTTAATGTTTTAGTGGTTTATTAAAAACCACCGAATGGTACCAGGCGGCCGGAGGCTCTGTCCAATTTTTTTTATGTAGTACAAACCGTATACTAGAAATTTTAACCAGTATATTTTTTTATTAACTTCATAATTATAAATTACATGTTATATGATCTTGATTTCTTTTAATGAGAACTTTATATGAATGCATTCATTCCATATGTATGCATATATTAGTATACTTGTGTAGACATTAATATAATTTTTATACATATGTATACATAAGTGCAAACAAATGTATTAATAGGGTAACATATCAAGGAAGTTTACTATATATTTTATTAAATATACTTATTTAAATATATAAAACTTTAGTTCTATTTACACCAACTCCTAGTATTTTACATTTAGTTTTGAAATATTTATAATATTTTATAGAAATTATTATACATTAGTTATAATGAACGGATCTTCACTTACACATGCATTAAACACTGAGATGGAGGACATGAATATCGATGACAACAGACAAACTTTGAATCTCAATGTCTCACTTAACAGATCGTTAGATACGACGTTTCCGGTGTTTCCGTATTTTGACGATGCATTAAACGACAACAATTGTATCGAACACATCGCTCTAACCGATGAATTCGACGACGAAAATGCATCTATATTTTCATTTGCCGATCTCAGCGACGAAGAGACTTCTGATAACGACACGTCAAACGAAGCAGTAGATGAAGTGTCACACAATATAAGCACTAATACTTCACTTCAGTCTCCAGTTTCCAGTGATGACAACCCGTCAAACGAAGCATTGAATGAAGTGTCTCACGATATCAATGCAAATACATCGCTTCTGACTCCAGTTTCATCAATAAAACCCATAACATTTGTCGTCATCAACAATAGCCAACAAATCTTATCAGTTATTAATAAAGGTTCTTCATATATATATGCCATGTTTATTTCATGAACATTGTTTTAATCAACAATTTCATTATAGTACAATTTGTCCAAGTAAATACATCATTGTCGCAACACGTGTTAAATAATTGTACAACAGTTAAAACGTCAGCTTCAGTTGAACCAAAGAGAAAACGTGGCAGACCTTCAAAAAACCGTACGTCTGATGAAGCTCTAGAAAGCAGGCGTGAGGTTAACAGACGTGCGGCAAGAAATTATCGACAAAAGCAGGGCATATATAAATCTCGCAGTGAAAAGATGTATGTATTTATAACATGTATAGTATTTTTAAGTCCACATTTAAATCCAAATTACTTCATCATAATAGGCTTGAAGCTGCTGAAGAATTGAACGTTTCGTTGCATTCAACCATAAAGCGAGCAAAGGATTTGAGGAAACAGTTGTGTGAACTAATGAATCTAACGAAACAACAATTGAAATCATTTGTTAAATGAAAAAACTATATTTTTTGCATTTTATTAAACATTTTTGTAATACATAAACAATTATAAATAAATGTATTAAATATTTGTTTCTTATTATAATTAAGTTTTAAAATAAATAAAATGTTTTTCCTATATTACTTTATTCAACATAACTTATATTCGAATATAATAAACGTATTTATATTATTTTAATTAATAAACTTAATTAATAATATTAATAATAATATTTCATAAGTAAGTTAATTTATATATATTTTTTAATTGTATTTGTATTTAATTTATGCATTTATATTAAAAAATATAAAACCTAATTTATGTCATTTATATTAAGAAAAAATATTAAACGTAATTTATGTCATTTATATTAAGAAAAAATATTAAACGTAATTTATGTCATTTATATTAAGAAAAAAATTATATTAAACGTAATTTATGTCATTTATAAAGAAAAAAGTATAAAACGTAATTTATGTCATTTAATTTCTCATTACATTTAATATTACACAATAGAAAAAATATACTAAAAAAATATACTTTCAAAATGTTATTATTCTATTTTTATGCTAACATATAACTGAAGTTTAATGTTAGGAAAAACGGTACTTAATATCTATATATATATATTCTATACATATATACAGTATATATACATAAAATACAATTGATATAAATTGTATTAAATATACATTAAATGTATTAATACTTAATACATCTTATTTAATAAAATTTAATTTTTAAAATAAAATTTCAATTTATTTATTTATTAATTATTATTATTAATTATATTGAAATTAATTAATATTTATTTATTATTTTTTTTTGGATACATTTTATAGACAAAAAAAATGCGACACTTTATATATATATAATTACAATATTTATTTTAAAAAAAATCTATTTCCTATATAATTATTTTAATTATAAATTTAGTGTTTTAATTAAGATAATTATGTTATATATATTAGATAAGTATTTAAAAATGTTTTCATGAAATATATAACCAGTTTTTTTCATTGATATTGATATTAGACTTTATATTTAAAAAATAAAAAAATTGTAAATTTTCTATCAAATTATTTGATATTAAATTTATTTTCACATAAATTAATATCAAATTATTTGCATTTTTTTTATGTTATTAAGTAAATAAAATCAAATTATTGCCAATAATATTGTAATCATTAAAATAAAATAAATAACAAAATCAAACAAAAATTTTTACTATCATTTAATAGTGTATATAATATTAAAAAATTATTATTACTTTTTACCAAAAAAAAATAAAATAAAAATATTATTTAATAGTTTTTATTATACATTAAATATTTTATGGGAAAATATATTTATTTATTTTAATTTATTTTATTTTATTTTTTTTCTGATAATCAAATTGATTGCATAAAAATTATTGATTATTTGCTAATAATTTTCTGAAAATTAATTAATTTAATTTATTTTATTTTATTTAATAATTTAGTTTTCAATTTTAATTACTTTCAGATTTTTTGAATAAAAAAAAATAAATATTTTTTTTCGACTATAGATTCGGTCAAACAAATCATAGACTCAACCGATTGTGTCAATCACTGCAATTTGAAGGACAGTTGGCTTTTTGTTTGTATCGACATTTCCCCTACAGAGCCGCTAAAAAAATAATGCAATTAATTGTTGATTTTTTTTAATTAAAAAGTATTATTTATTTTTTGTTTTGTTTATAATAATTAAAATGTTAATTATTTTTGTATAATAATTCTATTGTTAAGCTATAATAATAATAATAATATGTAATTATTTTTATATTATTTTCTAGTTATTTATTATTACAGGTATATAAATATATTTAAATATTAAATTTAAATTAACTAGTCAAAATAAAATAAAACAAAAAAATATAAATTAAAATTAATTATCTAAGATTTCAATTTAATTTTTTTTTAAAAAAATGTAATTTATTATTATTTAACTTTATATATATATTTAAATTGTTATATATAAAAATAATTATATATTTAATTAATTAAAATAAATATAAAAATGCTACTAGTCACAAAAATAAAATTTGTTATAATAAAAATTAATTGTTTTTTCCCCAACATTTTATTATTATAAGCTTTACTATCATTAAAACTATATATTAAAAAAAATTAAAATAATATAATATAAAATAAATAGTTTGGAAAACCTAACCAATTGGATATAGTAAAGGACAGGTATGTGTATGTCTACACTATGTGTCGCCGCCGCCACTCATACCAGTATTATTATTATAAGCCCCGCAATCATAGAGAGCACAGGCATATAGTATTACCTGTTTTTTTAGCTGCAAAATAATACATACAATATTCAGTATATTTGATGGTAAAGCCAAGTCATTCAATAAAGAGAGAGAGAGAGAGAGAGAGAGAGAGAGAGAGAGAGAGAGAGAGAGAGAGAGAGAGAGAGAGAGAGAGAGACATACCAGTCCTATGATTGGCCTGAACTCGGCATCTGTTTGAGAGAGAGAGAGAGAGAGAGAGAGAGAGAGAGAGAGAGAGTTGGAGAGCGGGTGTCGGGTCTTTGTTGAGGGCCGTTGGCTGTATGTATGTATGTATGTGTGTGTGTGTGTGTGTGTGTGTGTGTGTGTCTATGTGTGTGTGTGTATGTATGTGTGTGTGTGTGTGTATGTGTGTGTTCAGCACTAGTAGTAGTACTACTACTCACTCATGGCATCAGTTTGCTGGCAACTGGCAGTCAGTCAGTCATTCAGTTATAGTGAGAGAGAGACTAACAACACAACACAACACAACACAACAACACCATAAGCATAACCATCAGCAGCAGCAATACGCTTATCCATAGAATATATATATAGGATATACCATATATAACCTACCAGTGCCTGCTGTGTAAGTGTGTGTCTGTGTGTATC